GTTGAAAGAACCTACTAAGATTTTCCATCTGTGGTATAATCATGGACTTCAGTTGCTTCAGAGTTTAAATTTAGTAACATTTAGAAAAGAAGCCTTAGATATCTGTGTCCATAAACCTCCTCTGACACACCTGTGACCTTTACTAGAGTGGCATGTTGTTTGAGAATGTGTGTAAGTGTGTGTTCCTATGTTGAGGGTAGGCCAGAGGAGGACTTCGGGAGTCCCACTCTGCCATTCTCTGCCTTATGCCCTTGAAGCAGCATTTCTTACTGAATTTCGAGCTGGGCAGGCAGATGGCAAGCCCTAGCCATTCTCTTGTCTCTGCCTCCCACATTGCTGGGGCTCTAGGCACACAGCCAGCTTTTAATGTGGGTGCTGGGGACTTGAACTCAGGTCCTCATGCTTCACTGCAAGTGCTCTTACCCATCGAGTCATTTCCCCAGTTCAAAACAGATCATTTTTTAACTTTCTTGAGAACAGAAGGATTTATCCATTCAGAATACTGAAGCTTAAGAAAAGAAATAACTATAGGTTTCTAGGAACAAGGATGGCTGAAACCCAGGTCTTTTGAAACCATGCCAGGGAACTATTTTATTCTTTAAGTTCTGTAAAACTGGTGACCTGTGTATACCAGGCAAGGGTGTACCCCCGAGTTATACTCCTGAAAACTCCGGTGCTTTTTAGTGTACCAAATATCATGTAAATTCTCTTTTAACACCAAGAAGGGGTAATTCTGACTCCTTGAAGTTGGATTTTCAATCCCTGTGATCAACCTGCTTCCGGATATTTTTTTAAATGGTGTGTGTGTTTGTGGTGGTGGTGGTGGGGTATGGCATGCCACGTCACACGCATGGAGGTTAGAGGAAAGATAGCCTTGCAGAGTTGATCCTCCTCTTCCACCTTTATGTGGATTCTGGGGATGGAACTTAAGTCCTCAGACTTGTACCCCAAGTGCCTTTGCCCACTGAGCTATCTTGCTGGTCCCTTTTCTATTATGGTGGTGTGTGTTTGTCAGTGCAGTTTGGTAATTGAGGTTTTCTCGAAGTGGGCTTAGCATGATGTATTGCTGAGACTTCTGGATGCAAGAAACCTGGAATGATTCTTAGGGATGTTGATTCCTTGCTGGTTTGGGGCACTGGTTCCTGCTTGATTAAAACAAACTGGAAAATCTAGAATGCTAAGATAAATGGTTCAAGCACTCAGGAGGCAAAGGCAGGAGGGTCAGGAGTTCAGAGTCATCCTCTATTACCCATCAAGTTCCAGGCTAGCCCAGACTAAAGGAGATAGTTTCTAAAAAATGAAGATCCAGAATACACTGCTCTGAGCTGAAAGGACTGTGACCTGTTCTTGTAGCAGGTGGCTTTCCTTAAAAGTCTCCCTTGATGTTCTCATCCTGAATGGAGGTTGTGGTCACAGATGATCCTTTTCTAAGCTGGATCTCTGCTCTCCAGCCCACATTCTTGCTGCAATCACACGCAGGTTGCTAGCATGTGGGCAGAGTTCCATACATGGTGTGAGGAGCAGACATGACTTCATGCTTTGCTGTAGACAAGAAGAACTGCCAAGGCTCAGGCGCCCCGTCCCCCCAAGACTTTCTCTGTTTGGAATCCTCTTCTCTGGTAGTGTGGTAACCAGACCACAGGGGAGGCTGTAGATCTGTGGGCAAATTTCCTTGCAGATTCCCAAATCCTGTCCTCTAAGACTCTGGAGTTCCCAATAGCACTCATAGCTCCACCCACAAGCATTTGAAAACACATACTTGGTACCAACCTAAAGGTAATCTTCGGTTTCAAGAAGTGTGATCAGCTGTATTTATTATGCTGCTTGACTCTGAGGTGGGAAACGGACACCCTGACAAGTTTCTCTAAGGAAATCCTCACAATCATTCTGAATGAAAATAGTCTTTTGTTTCAAAATTGGGGGAGGGAGGCAACTGGAGAGATGGCTCAGTGGTTAGGATTACTTGTTGCTCTTGCGAAGGACTGGGTTTGGTCCTAAGTACCACTTGGAGGTCCACAACTGTTTGTAATGTTCAGTGCCAAGGGATCTGATGCCTTTTCTGACCTCCGTGGGCATGTGTGTGTTGCACAGGCATATATATGCAGGCAAACACAAATACACATAAAATGCAAAATAAATTTAAATAGAATTTTAAATGAGATGTGTGTGTGTGTGTGTGTGTGTGTGTGTGTGTGTGTGGTGGCCAGAGGACAGCCTGCAAAAGTCAGCTCTCTCCTTCTGTCTTGTGGGCTCCAGGGATCAAGTTACTCTCTTGTTCTACCATCTTATTGGCCTAAATCACTCTTTTGTCCCAACACCTGGGATGCTGAGGCAGGAATACTGGTGCAAGTTTGGTGCTAACCTGGGCTACACAGTGAGATGTTGTTTGAAAGAAAAAAATTGTGTGTGTGTGTGTATGTGTGGGGTGTGTGTGCTGGAGAGATGGCTCAGCAGTTAAGTATGCCATACTTCTCTTGCAGAGACTACATTTCCCAGCATCCATGTCAGGTGGCACACAGCTACCTGCATAAGGTTACAGTGGCCTTTAGTCTCCTTGGACACCCTGCACTCATATGCACATACCACATACAGACAGACACACAATTAAAATAAAATAAAAACAAATCTTTAAAATGTACTCTTTTGTGTTCATTGGTCTTGAAATACTTCAACATCAAGATGGAGGTTCCCTCCAATTTGGAGGTCTTTTATATTCCATTCCTCCAGCTTATTTTTATTATTATTTCTACCCAAAGGCATGAAAACAAAGAGACCTGTTTCTCCTTATCCAGATGGAAGGTGTATGATTATGTGCACTGCACATGTAGTGCACATGTTCCTGCTCATGCATGCACGTGCACACACACACACACACACACACACACACACACACACACACACACACACCAGTTGAAGCAGTCAGTGGGATGGGTTGGGTGCAGTAATATTTTTGAGGTATCATTTGGCTTAATTTACACACATTTGAGCACAGCTTCAACATCACTTCAGAGATACACACACAGAGAAAAAAAAACCTCGAGAGAAATTGAACAGCATTTATCTGATAGTGTAAGCAATCAGAAGAAACCGAAGTAAAGATAAAAAGAATGGCAAACAAAGCTGAGTGTGGTGTACACACCTGTAATGACAGTATTCAGGAGGCTGAAAGAGGAGGGTCACAACTTTGGAGGGAGCTGGGATATATGATGAGGCTCAAATAACCGAAAGAGAAAAAGGAAAGAAGAGAGAGAAAGAAAGAAAGAACGAGGGAGGGAGGGAGGGAGGAAAGGAGGGAGGCAGGCAGGCCGGCAGGCAGGCTAACAATTGCTTGACTACTAAATTCAGGTCCAATTAAAAAAAACTTGAGGGATAGTCACATTTAGCATCAAAGCAAATCTCTCGAATGTGTCGAATATGAACTAAAAAAATCCTTTGATTTTGTCTTCCTAATGAACAGCTCTTCTACTCCATTTCTATAAAGTGTAAGTTAGATTTAACGTGCTGGAACAAATGTTTTCCAACGGACTAGAGGCTTAGCTTCCCTGACCTGTGTGCAGTATGTTAGAAACTTGCACGCTCTTGGGGGAGAGTGTATGTGAGACACCAGGAAGTCCAAGCGCCCAGAGTGGCAGGTATGTATTACAGTGCTAATCTTTACCACCACCGAATTCCCTCCCCCCTCCCACCGTTTGTGCGTGCCTGCCTGTGTCCATGCACTATTTCACATGGCGGCTATCAATCCATTCTGAACCATATAGGCCAAACTTACTTCTTTTACTGTCTATAAAGAGCATGCCATGGATGATTTCTTGAAAATTGACTTTGAAAAGCTCCAATTTTCAAACGCAAAATACAACACCACAGCAAACCCTTTATTCAAGTCTGGGGCATTTCCCGAACTATCTTTCAACTAACTATGGGCGGGGAAGAGGGCGTGCCTTTGAGATTCAGTTTCTGCAGTACACATTCATGTCCTTAGTCAAGGACACATTTCTGAATTTAAGGTATCAAGAAGAACGAGTTCGGAGAAGAAATGAGTTCCAAGATGTGCGACGAGAAAAGGGCCCCAACTCTGAAGAAATAGCTGAGAAACTCGTGAAAGTTTTTAATCTTTTTTATTTTTCCTCCTGGGAAGACACCTGAAAAAAAGGGTGCGCGTTTGCTGTAAATCCACCGTGCTGTTTGTAGTCTCGGAGGATCACAACAAACCTTGGGTTCAGATAGCTCCCAAACCGATGCATTACAGTCCCAACTTTCTCTCCTCCGCGAGGCTTAACGGGCCGATCCCTAGGCCACTTCTAGATCCCGGTGCTGGGTAGCCAACATCCTGCAGGGCTCCTTTAAGAGGAGGAAGCACGCCCCTGCATTTCCCCGCCCAGTCTCCGCCCTTCACACCTTGGGTGGGAAAAGCGAGCGGAGGCGGGACCTCGGGGACCTAGCGTTCCTCCGGTCTAGGAAGCCGACCGTGGCTCCGGTAGCCAATGAGCAACGGGCGGGGCGGGGCGTGACTCCGTAGCCCAGCATCCAACGTGGGCCGCGCTCCGCCCGCGGGCCCCAGCGGAGGGGTGTGAGGGCGAGCAGCCGGGCCGGGGCGGGGCCTGGGGCCGCGGGGCAGGACCACGGCGCGGCTAGCCGCTGATTGTTCGCCGCGCTGAGGCACGGTGCGCTCCGGACGCTCCGGGACGGTGAGGCGCGTGGGGTCCACGGCTCTCAGCTCAGAGCTCTCAGTAAGATGCTCGCCCGCGCCACGCGCAGAGGCCGAAGCTAAACGTCCTCAGTCCTCGGCGGCTATCGGCTTGTGCCCGGGCTCCGAAGGCGACGCGCAGCGCGGCGGGAAGGACGAGCAGCGGCGGCCGAGCACTCACCGCGGGACACCGCGGAGTTCGCTGCGCGCTGGGCTCGGCCCGGATGGGCGCGGGGGTGGCGTTCCCCGCAGGGCGCTGCGAAGCGGCCCGGGCAGAGCGTACCGGCTGAGTGTCGCGGCCACCGCGCCGACTGGGGCCGGGTGTCCATGCCCCGGTGCGGAGCCTAGCGCCGAGCGCAGCCCGCGCCCGCTCGCTTCCCAGCCCGCCCGCACCTCGCAGCGCTCGCGCCCCGGCTTCGCGGTGCGCTCCAGACAAGATGGCGCGGCCGGGTCCGGGAGTGCTCGGGGCCCCGCGCCTCGCGCCTCGCCTTTTGCTCTGGCTGCTGCTGCTGCTACTGCAATGGTCGGAGTCGGCGGGTGCCCAGGCCGGCTCGCGGGAGCCTTGCGCGGCCGCCTGCACTTGCGCCGGGGACTCGGTGGACTGCAGTGGGCGCGGGCTGGCGACGCTGCCCCGGGACTTGCCCTCCTGGACGCGGAGCCTGTGAGTATCTCCTTCGCTGCTTGCCCGGGCGCTGTCACTGGGACAAGGCTGCGGGTGTGCACAGCCGGGGAGGGTGCGGAGTGCACTCTATGGCCTAGGACATTTGTGGGTGGCCTTATGGGGGTCGCGCGTGGGGTCCCGGTGGAGAGGACTGTGTCTCTGCGGTCTGAAGGTGAGCGCGTGTGCCTCATGGGGTTCTGGAGAAGCCTAACTTGCAGTGCGTGTTCTCTTGCGGGTTCAGGACATGAGTATAAGGGTGACTGAGTGTGCTGCGTGGAGTCTGGAGGCCCGCGAATGTGGGGCACCGGTTTGTGACTTGAAGGTGGGTGAGCGTGCTTGCGAGCGCGACATGCGTGTGTTTGGGTGTCTGGGAGTGAAGAATGGAGGTGAGCGAATTTGTGTGCATGCGAGACGGAGGATGGCAGAGTGTTGGAGTCTATGTTGGGATGGGTGGGTGTATGTTTCTTTTTTTCCTTTCCTGTAACCCAACTCTTTGGTGTCTGGGTTCCCTCAACTTACCCCCAGTTGGTATTGAATGAAGGTGAGTCTTACCTCCAGTGTTCGGTCTGTTGACATTATTCATTGGTGAGCATGTGTTGCTGTCTCCCGATCACCAGAGAGTCGTGGTGGCTTGACTTGGCATTGGCCAGAGCAAAAGGGACCCTGCCCTGGAGAACCCAGGAGTTGAGCTGTGAGAGTTGTTGGAGGTCTCTGAGTGCGGCTGTTCGCTCTTTTCCGCCTGGCTGGCATGTACAGGAACTGTGTTCCAGATCCCTTCCTGTCTGTTCCCTGGGGCCCCCTTGGGCTTGATGATCCCCAGTGGTGGGTCCCACCCTCGAGTTTTTCCTCCATAAATGGCACAAGTTAGTTGTGGAGTAGTGCTGCTTCAGGAGAGCTTGCCAGGGGCTTGACTGGCTCTAATAGTTTGTTTCACCCCACAGAGGTGCGTTTCTGTGCTGTTGGGATTAGGGCCTATCAGGAGTTAGTGGGATACTTATTACAGGGGATTTGGCAGGAACAAAAAGACATTATTAGGTTTCTGTAAACATACTGGAATAGAATTGCTATGTTATACTTCTAAAAACTCAGACCTCTGCTATCAGTAATTAGCATCTCTAGAACTATTAGTACCTTCCAGAAAAGGCCTAGCTTGAGTAGTCTGCTTCTCACTTGAGCAGCTGAATGTCTTTCCTAGGACATAGAGGAGGTACAGTGGTAACCTCAGTCTTGACACTTGCTGTTTTAAAAAGAGAAAATTGACGACACAGGTTTTAACCCACCCCCATGGACCTGAATATTGGATTGCCATGAAGGGGAGAAGTTATGCCCTTTCTAACAAGAAGACCCAGTGTTTTCTCAAAATGAGGCACAGATAAAGGGCATTTACCTTGATCACTTGGGCAAGCTGCTGTGAGTCCTGAAGCTGGCTGAGACCCTTTAGCAACCGTCGCTATCATTAGGCTTTTTCTTCAGGGTTTGCTCCAGATGGAATTCACTAGTGAAAAAGCATGATCTTAGAGTGGGTTTCAACACAGTGGCTCTGTCAGTTACTGGGAGATGAACACCCTGTTGCTCTTCGCTAGGATTTTATTTGGTAATAGTTGAGGCAGTCTGGGGACGTTGTGAATTTTCTTTGCATACTTTTTAAAAATTAAATAATAGAACCACATGGGTAGAATCAGAATAACTCGAGTGTTCACCTGTTGGAAGAGTGACTTGCAAAGCCATGTATCCGTAGCATAGTGAGGAAAGCTCTCGGTTTCCAAGCCATAACTTCCTGGAGAGGACAGAGTGTTCTTATTTGCACTTTCCTAGGTCACAAGACCCACCTTGCCTTGCCCTGTTTTGGAGCAGAACTTACTAGTCATTTTTAGGCTTTTGGTTGCTTACAAGTGACAATTCACACAGCATAAATACCTTTAAAATTGCACTTTCTTTCACTCAATGTTAATGATCAATAAATACCTATCTAGGTATTTTGAACTCGCAGAGATTTGACTCTGCTGAGGATGGCTTTAAAGGATTAGATTTAAGATCCAAGCAGTGTGGTTTCTGGGCTAGCATGTGGTGATACAGTGTGTGCGCATACACAAGTATTTAAAAAATGCAAGTTTTTAAAATTTCTGTTTAAAATGAAATCAGGTGTGAATTGTCTTCTAACCTTCAGTTTCCTCAGAATATTTTCCCTCCTGATGTTGAGGGTTGAACCTGAGGTCTGTGGCATGCTACCTCCAGACTGTATCTCTAGTACCGGCACTTTCATTTTAAACCGTTGCCTTTGCTCTGGGATTTCCATAAAGATATTAATACCCTGGGCTGTGCTTTGGCAAGACAGAAGTGGAGAAAGTCTCTATATGTAATATAATAAAATATCTTGCATTGTCACTGAATTCACACCCTCTAAGGCTATCGTGTTGAGGAAATGCTTTGAGCTAGTTTGTAAGCCTATGAAGTAGGTAACTGCAGGCTGCTCAAACAGTTTCAGGCTGTGGGTTTGAGATAGCAAGGAACCTGTGGCTTCATGGGACTCCTCCCACTGTTGTAAACAGGACATCTACTTTTGGAGTTGCTCTTAAGCCAAGCATAGAGAAACTAAAACTTTTAAATAGTAAATAAAAATGCAGGTTGGTGTCTATGGAGGGAAATAGATTCCTTTCTAGGGCTGAGGATCACCACGAGTGGAAGAGCATAGCCGAGGCTCCTGTCTCACTGCGTAGGTGAGGCTGGCATGGTCCAATCAGAGCATTCATAAATAGCACCAAAGGCTGCCAAGCCTTACTCCAACCCCCAGAACCTTAGAAGAGGCCAAACTTCTTAGAACTTACGTGTTTGCTTTCCTTGAAACTATTTTTGAGAGCATGATTTCAGAAACTTAAAGAGGTATTAAAGAGGATTTACTTTAGACTCTTTCTTACCTATCTAAATTTAAGCAGAGAGTTTAGTTACAAAATACTATGGGCTTTAACATTTCGAGAGGTAACTGATGGCCTGTTGGGAGTGGGAGGTGGACAGGCCTTGGGAGGGCAATCCTTGGGTCCTTGTTCTATGGAGGGAAGTTAGCGGGGATTCAAAAACAAGGTCATTCAGCAGAGGGCACCAAGTGTGGTCACTTGAGTACCAGTAGTAGGAGTTTATTGATTTGCTTCTCTTGTATTATGAGTTTGCAGTATTAAGTTGGGAGGCTCAAATCTAGCTTTGCTGGTTTGAGCACCTAAGTGTCAGTTTTGATTACATTAGACAATATACAATCTGTGCTGTCACTGTATAGGTAGAAACAACAAGAACTTCTGCCTTTCAAATCTGCAGCTGTACTTCAAAGGCCAGGTGTGCAGGGTGTTGTGAATTAAAGTTCTGGAAATTACTTTCCGTCTGATTTATGTAAATTAGTTGACCAAATCCTTTTAGAATCTAAACTAAAAATTTTTTTTGTCTCATATCACTTTAAGAGCTCAGCAAACCTTGAACTTGTTTCAGTTTGGGGTTGGAGGTTGTTTGGAATAGAGATGGATTTATTTATTTTTGTGATTGGAGGGATTCGAACTCACTGCCTGGGGTATGCTAAACTACAGTGCTTTCCCACTGAGGAGCTCCTCCACTCAGCCCTATGGATCTTGAGGGTACTTGCACCTTTCAGAGTCTTCTCTGCTGTGAGCTCATGCGGAAAAAGCTCGGTAAGGATGGGCTCGAACCCAGGGCTTTTCATACTCAAAGCAAGCATTCTACCTACTGAGCCACATCCTTATTGCATTGTCCCCCAAGGCACTATTTTAAGACTCCCTGTGCTCATCTCTTTCTATAATTACATATGGTTACTAGATTTCACAAACTTTGGACTTCTGAGTGTATTATAGGCAGTCGTTCTTGGCAGCATCTTGGGAAGGCTTAGGGACCGTGCAGTGTGCTGCTTTCTGTGAGATGTCCCCATACTCCTGCTCTCTAGCCTTATCCCTCTTTGGTTAATTATGTCGTCGTGGCCTGGGTTCCCTGGGCTGCTTCCCTGACCAGTTGGGTCGTCCTCTGGCTGACCTTTTCTTTTCCTCTGTCAGGCTCCTTGCTCACAATGAAAGAGTCTCTTCCCTTCTCTGTAGAAGTGTCTCCATGGTACAAAGCCTTTTCAGCCTACTCCCAGGGCTGGCTAGGGGCTAGTGTGACTTAACGCATCTGGCTCTAAAATAGGCACCTGCTGTTGCCCAGAAGAAAGGTCTGTGAGATAGGAAAGCAAGATGGTGGCTGTTTAAAAGTAGCTTATGGCTGTTTTAAAAGTGAGAGGGAAATCTAGAAGAGGAGCTCATTAAGTTGGAAGTTGCTGAAAGCAGTAAATATGGTGCTGGTTGTTCACTTTGCCATGACCTCCTTCTCTTTTCCCTCATTTTTTTAAAACATAAAAGGGATTTTTATTTACCCCATAGGTTGCAAGACTTAAGTTTTGTGGGTATGCCTAACTTTCAACTCGTTTTGAATGAGCTTGGTGGCATTTGCTCACTGGGACCTTCCACTCCCCAGCAATTGCAGTTTGAGACCCTGGGAGCCGTTTAGAAGTGAACAGGACTTTGGGCTGTGTTAATATTCAGGGTTGTTTACAGTGGATGCATTTTCAGTGGCTGATGCTTTGTCTTGAGACAGGAGGGAGAAAGGGGTAGAGGGAAAAATCCCAAGCAGAGGAAGGGAAATATGAAAAAAATCTCAAGTGATGTCTGGCCTGAGGGAGGTTTAGGGAACATTAGTAATTAGTTTTTACAGTTTAGGCATGGTATTGAACCAGTGGGGTCCGTTAGGGGTGAACCTCATTACTTCAGTTCTTTCTCTGTGCTAGTAACTGACTGGTTATCTTCTGCTGCTGTTTCCAGTAAAATTGCAGATTTGGTTTTATTTCCTGTGAACCTTGAAGACCAGAGGTTAAACTTTGTACAATGAAAATGGTATTCACTTATTGATTTAGCCCAAATAGTTTTATGTAGCAATAGAGATTAGGATTGTAGTTCAATCTGACCAATTAATTG